TTTGCACATAATAAGTTGAATGATTAACTGCACAAAAATCTGTAGATCCGCACAGACATACAAACTGAGGAGCAGTTCTGGTGGGGAAATAAATGGAGGTAGTGGAGAACAGAATAAAAATAAATGAACATAGATCTGAGCAGAATCTCATCTACAAATACTCTGCCCGTTCGATACAATATTAATAGATATTCGATTATCCTCTGCGACGTATGATGAAGCATAGAATTTGTTGCACTTTAGGTATTCTCAGTGAAGCGTGATGGGTGCGTTCATTGGATTGCCTACATTATTATATGTTATATGATATCTCACACACGTATGAGTCCAGACTGAGTGCCAAGTACATTACAACGTAATAGTGTTTGTAACAAAAGAAATTAGTCCACGATTTGCCCCAGTCACTGATCCGAACCAATGAGTAGGGTTGCCAATCGATGTCTTGTGTTCGAGTGAGAAACTGAATTGAAAGTAGCACACGTCAAGTAGCATGAAGTGGCATGGAGTGATTGACCATTTACTTGTTTCTGTCGAGTCAGATGCTATTTGAAGTGAAACTCCCTACCCGGTAGATGAGTACTGTGTTGTGGGATGCTTCTGTTTATCAAGTACTATAAGTAAGTAATATAGCTTAAGTAACAGAACAGGGTGATTTTCTGTTTGTAAACTGCTAGAAAATCTTATAGCACCAGTATGACATGGAAGCGTTAGGCTCCGTTCAGATAGTTTTCATGTTTTGAGGTGTACAGTTTCAATACACACATTTCACTAAATTTTCGAAGCAACTAAAAACTTTCTTGGTATGGGTGGAATGTGCACTGCGATAATTATGTCACTTTTGCCTCATGGTTTCGATGGGAATGGAAAATCATATAAGAAATGTTTACACAGTTTTTCCACATGCCAGCAACAGTAATTCTTTATTGGTTTTCACCTGTGAACCGTGCTACATTTTTTACACTATGTGCATTCTCCTTTTTCCAACACTGACGTAACAGAAGAGTCCGGTTGACTGCATTTCCAGCGATTCCTCGGCATAGATGATTCATGCTCATTTTGATTTATTTCAGGAAGACCGTCGATCTCAGCAATTAATTGATAGGCTTTGTCGACAATCTCTGCTGGAACGTCGCATCGGTGTACAATTGGCTCAGACCAAACGAGAGAAATCTGTTTTGTTGGGTAATCTACTGGAAAGAGAAAAGGAGCATGCAGCCCAACGGGAACGGGAATTTGAACAAGCAATGGATCTCGAACGGGTTAGTACTTCGCAAACCGCAGTTTAGGCATAATTAAAAAAACGGTAAGAGAAGACGATGCCAGGTTTGTGGGGTATGTGGCTCGCAGAAATGCTTTATAGATTCAGCAACCATAAGACTTAGACAAATCAAAAATACAATAATTGTTTAGGTTTTATAAGATTATCGGTAACTTCTAACTAAAATGAAACTGTTTTCGGGAGATATTTTCAAATGGTAGTTTAGAGTTCATCCTGAACCGTAATTTATAAACAATCGCTTAAAAAGGTGCCGATGTACTAATGCACGCGTTTAATAGGCCATCGAGGATTGAATATATTATCGCGCAATACTGACATTGTAGCAGTCGACAAGCAGAAATTGTTCCTTGTTGCCACTAAAAGTCATCAAAAATAATTCACGTACACGAGACAATTTGTTGTAATTGGATAAACGAGAACTCCGACTGAAAATTTGAGAGGCTTCACATAGGTGTTCCTCTCTGGTCGGATTCCATAAACACTGAGTCACTCGAATCCGGGCCCTTACAACTGGAATATCAGCATACTGCCCATTTAACCACTGGGTAGCTGATCAGAAGATTCTTAACTTTGCCTATGTAAAATACCGCCTAACCCATCTTTGTGAACCTGTTGCGAGCATTGTACTTCGCTCATCCGAGCACTATCCCCCAGGGCGGTGGTGACCCGGTGGTAACGTCACCAATTATCACCCCGGAGGACGAGTGTTCGAATCCCACCACCACCGCCTGAATTTCCCCATTTGTGTGTTGTATGGCAGCCCTCTGATTGGCCGCTTCCCCCTTCCTGAAAATTGTATCTTTGTATATTCAATAAAAGGAAGTAAAATGAAAAAGAAAAAAAGAAAAGGGTTGTGATTTGGTTAAACCATTCCAACCTGACTTCTTGTCCAGCTCTTTAATCAATCATAATCACCAAACGATTTGCTACGTTGTCTTTAGCTATTTCAGTCTTGATTTCGTGAGTGTTGTTGATGTAGTTTGCGGCTGTCGCAACTCATCGTATTTGGCCTGATATCATGCGGATATTTGCAATACTGACGTTGCTTTGAGATGGTTGCCTAACCTGAGAAACATAATTAGCGGGTCACTGCTATCCGCAACACATTTAAGACTGGTCTTCATTGCTTGTTCGGCCACATTTTCTGGTTTGTCATTTGGCTGGCTGTAAAAGATCCTAGTAAAATGGTTTTAAAATTGTCATCATTCACTGAATTTTTGTTGTTACATCAAGATTCACAACTCGACATCAATTGAACTGATTCTCTGTCAGGCAAAACGATAGCTATACCGGACTGCGCCAGGCCAACTTAAAAGAAGTCGCCGTAAACAGTTTCCCGTGATCAAAAGTATCCATTGACACCCTTCTTTGTGATCAAACATTGGTTCTTTCGTTTGCGTATGTCTTCAGCAAGTAGTCAGCACCCTCAAACACTTGATGAACAAATAAATGGTAGCTGAATGACAACAAACTAAGGGGTGGGATGTATTTGTATCTTAGGCCTGTAACATCTGTTGTTAATCTGTTTTCACCTCATCGAAGCTCACGGTTGAAGAAACTCCATTTTTGATGATTGTCAATGTAATGTTGATTTCTTTTTTCGAATCTACATCAGAAATGTTCCACTTAATTTGCCTCTTTTGGGCAGGAGCCGTGGTAGCGTTGAAACCGAAATCTCTGGGCGGACCAACCGAACTCCGTCTGGACAGTTACTTTCCATCCTTTCATCAACATTCTGACAAACAAACCTTTCCATATATTTGGTATTGGTGCACTATTCATGCAATCAGTTGCGTGGATGTGAGATTCTGAAGTCAATTTGCTCTTCATGAGGTACTCCGCTGAAAAATGTTTGTGTTTCTCGTGATTGCAACGCATCTTTCTTCCAGTAAGGAACTGGTTTCCTCCTGTCACATACACCCGTCGTTAAAAATGGTGGTGAACGTTTAGCGGTGCTTTATTTGTTTGCATCACTGCCTCTTCACTTTGGCACATACCAATGTATGATTTGGAATCTTTAAACGGTGCTCCAACATGGTAGGGTCCTGTAATCGAACGACACTCCAGGTGCTTCCTGGTTAGGCTCTGTTTTGGGCAATTACCGAGAGTTGGGGAACGAGCTAATGTCCTCAGGGATGGGACTAAAACACCGAGGACCTCGCCAGGTTGAGATTTCTGCTTGTATTCTTTCGTTTATATGTACGTTCTTCTCCACCGACCAATTTCGTTCGTCTGGGTTTTCCGTTAAACTGGTGCGTGGAGGTGAGGTTGGTAGGGGAGGTAGTTGCCCATCCGTCCTGATTGCCGTTTCGGCCCGTTCTCAGGTCAGGGCGTGACCATTTTGTTGCGTCATTTGATCCTTGAGTGGCATTGGCGTGTACACGTGATCCAGTTCAATGTGCCTGTTGATTGAGGAAAAATTCTCTGGCGTGTTTTGACCGGGCTTGGTCGACAATTTTCACTGAAGCGAAGTTAAACTGATGTCCTTCTTGATCTTCATGGAGGAAAATCAAAGATTGTGCGTCATGTCTCCTGCCGCTTGGTGTTCACGGATCCCTGTGGACAGTTTTCTCCCAGTTTGTCCGATATAGTGTTTTGGGCAGTTCTTGCAGTTTATTTTGTAGAAAACACTGCTCTTGTCCTTCTCCATTGTTCTCTCCTTTGGCTTTGACAGAAGTCTCCTTAGACAGGAGGTAGGTTTGTGGGCGACTTGGATCCCATATGATCTGAACAGTCTTGCCGTCATTTCCGAAACGTCCTTGATCTACGGCAGGATAGTTCTTGTTCCCGATTCTCCGTTTATTGTTTCTTTCTTTCTTTGGGTTAGAGTTATTCTGATGAACTTGCGGGTGTAGCCGTTGCGAGCAAATACTCTGAATGCGTACGGCGTAATAAGGCAGCTTTCTTAAGTTTCATTGCATTGACCAAGATTATATCTTTCCAACCTCGTTATTACCGATCTCGCCGACCGATCTCAAATAAGCTCATCTCCACTGTATGTAAGCCAGTTAGCTGCTTGCGCAGCAGCCTGGCCGACAGTATGACGAAGCGAATCATATTTTAATGAGCATGATTTGCTATCTATCACTGCCAAGCTACAATATTTTTCAAACTCCGGTCACCATGGTCTCCAATTATCATCCAACCTTCCCGTTTTGTCCATAGCTCCATACACCGGTGACTTGATGTGCAGACGCCTATTCAGTCGCATCTCCATCAGTGGGAACTTCATAGACCTGGAAGACCCAATAGAAGTCTACTAAATGAGGAGCACAGAGAAACACTGAGAAGAAGCAGGGGAAACAGGAACATTATCATTGTTAGACCGGATAAGGGCTCGGGAGTAGTACTATTAAATCGATCTGATGACGCCGATAAGATGAACAAGATTTTGAGCGACCGCTCAAAATTTAGATAGAACTTCATATTAATTTTATCTAGTGTAACGTATTGTTATATTCAATAGAACTCGTAATATGTTTAAAAGGTCCCACGGAACTCATAATGAGAACACAAATTGGCAAACAAGCTCGTTTTCAGTGTGTCTTAATCATGCCATTACAACACAATAAATATGACTAGTATCATCCATCCGTCTTCACAACCCCCCTCTGTGTGCTCAGAAACAATTTGTGCAAGCACTCAGGCTCCCATGGCTGGATCGCCGACAAGTGACTTGTTATGCAACATCGGAGCAAGTGATAATTGGGGACCAATTATGAAACAAACTCTTGAATACTTTAATTACTTTCCCTCTCTTTTTCCTTGTAAATCCTTCTTTGATACTAGTCATATTTATTGTGTTGTAATGGCATGATTAAGACACACTGAAAACGAGCTTGTTTGCCAGTTTGTGTTCTCATTATGAACTCGTAATATGCACGAAAGTACAACAACAAGAGTATATCAAATCACAGAATGAACCCATAGTCAAAATCAGAACACAGGTCGTGGGCGAACATATGTTTTCAGTGATTTCTTTATCAAGCCAGTTCAATCACATTTATGTGAGAAAATAACGGGAAATTGTTGTGTTGGGGTCAAACAATGGAGGTCAAATAATCATAGGAAAGGGGTGGAGTAGGGACACATTTGTCACTCGTTCTAGTTGACCCGCGAATTCTCCTGGGTAGACCCGACAAAGGAGCTGGCGTTGTTGTAATAGATCGTGAAGTATATATTCATAAAATGGTTACCTCATTGCAGGATGAATCAAAATTCAGTCGAGGCACATCGCAGTGCGGCTAAACTGAGAAAACCGCAAGGGAAACCACAGGAATACTGAAAAGGCTCAGAGACCAAGGACATATATTAATCAACTTTTTTGGAAGACTCAAACCCGTAGGTTCCAATATACCTCGGTTATACGGTTTACCAAAAATCCACAAACTTGGCTTACCTCTTCGTCTCATACTGTCCATGACAAACTCAACCTATCACGCTACCGCCCAATGGCTAGTAGAAGTTCTCGAACCAGTACATAAAAGGCTTGCAAAACACAATACGAGACATGTTCGCATTTGTGGATGCTATAAAGGATGTAAACTTAGCAGGAAAACAAATGCTCTCTCTTGTGTCCCTGTTTACCAACGTACCTCTGCTCGGGACAGTAAACTTCATCAGAGATTTCATTACACGTGAGAACATACCCGTGGGTATAACAGTTGACAGTCCCAAAGAATTGATACTCAGATGCACGTTCAACGTGCAATTCTTGTTTGGTAATACCTACTATCTCCAAAAAGTGGAGTCACAATGGGGCCACCCTTAGGGCTAGTCCTTGTAGACTTTTTTCGATAAAAATTAGAATCCGGTACTCTGAATACAGTCATCAATAATTTCGATCACTACTACAGATAAGTGGACGATATTTTATGTGTTTCAGATGACAATTTGGACCTCAACGATGTGTTGTTGAGCTTCAATACGGCTCACTCAGGGATACGCTTTACAGTTGAGAAAGAAGAAAATAACGAATTGCCAGTCCTGAATGTTAATTTAACGAGA